GTAATGATTCAGCATTGTTGCCATTAGTTTTGCAGCTAAACAAAGTGAGCCTATGATAGGTTAAGACACCAAACTAGCCAGGGGTCAAAGCCTTCGCCTGCCTGACTCTAGTGCCAGAGAGTAAATCACAATAGCATGTTGCCTCTCAGCATTGTGTTCTCCCCTTGGACACATCCTTCCATGGCCAATAATAAAGATGCAAAAGAAAGCTAAACATACACCCTAGTTCAAGCCTAAAATGACTTGGATAATAGTAGCTGCAAAGCAACTGAATCCTACAGTCTGAACATCTGTTTTAAGACCTTGAGTGAGTATGTTTTTCTGGAATATCCCTTCAGAAATGCTTTTCTGAACATTTGTTCAAACAAGCTGAGGTCTGGACACCCTCTGATGCCTTTCTCGATTGGTTATGCGCCAAGTATGACATGATCTTCCGCATGTGGTTTGAGTTAGGTGCAAGTGTTGCACATGCCTGGGATACTGGGCAAGCCCACTAGAGCTGCCCCTGGATGCAGACAAGGCTGACTCCAGCAGGCCCACTGAAGGAGATGGTAGATCTGTGGTGACTGGGATGGAAGCACCAGTTGGATGGGTCACCCCATAACCCCCATTGAGCTGGGCCCTTTGCATTCCAGCAATTCTTTCCCCCTTCTGCCTGGATATTTAATTGTGTTTGGGACAATTTCCAAAATATCCAGTGGTCTTCTCAAGCTGTATGACTTGAGAGAGTTTCAGAGCACTGAGCCTGAAGGACTTGTTGCTATGGTCTGGCTTTCTTGCTGCAAACCACAGGGTCTCTACCTGCTGTGCCATGAGATCATTTGGGAATTGATCAATGTCTTTGGAAAGTGCCTCCTCATGCACATAACTGGAAGGGACTATAATCCCAGACAGTTTTACAGCTTTGGCAGGATGGAGGTATACACTGAGGATAGATTGAATGTCACCTCTTGGCCTGGGTTTGTGGGAGATGGCTGAAGAGCCCATCAGCAAATCTGCCATGTGGCCAAGTCCATGTGAGTGATGGAAACATGGCTGTGGGAAGAGGCCAAGGCCAGTAATGAAGGAGGAGACACTCAAACCTATGGGGAATCCCTGAATCCCCAACATCTGTGAGAAAGATCAGATGAGGCTTGGGGGTAAAAAGCAACAAGAAGGCATCCAGCAGTTCTAAGTGCACACAGAAAGAAGTAAAAAGATACCAGTCAGCTGTGGGCAGGGAGATCTACAGGTGTCGGGCCTGCTTGAACATTCAAGTTCAGAGACACCGCATACAGGGCAAGTGCTTCAAGACAAAAACACAATTCTTAATTAGGAGCAAGTGTTTCCTTATGTCACTATGAACTTCTGAAATTGCCTCCAAATATTCTTGAGAAAATAATCCATTCTTCCCTCTCAACGCAAAATGCATATGTACCCTGAAAATCACCTCTCCATATACTTAGTCTAACAATTCGGAGGAAGGAATACTAAAGGTTGTGTGTGTGTGTGTGTGTGTGTGTGTGTGTGTGTGTTTTGATTGATTGAGGTTTAGAGAAAATGAACCGGGTAAGAGTTAATCACACATTTGAGATGAGAAGTCATGAGGGTCTACTAAAGGATGCTTTGTTGAAATGTGGAAGAGGTTGCCTATTGTGAGATGAAACTGTAAAGGAATAGTACCACAACTTGGCAACCAACTAGATTTATCAGGGTAATGGGAAAAAATGTAAATGCCATCTTTATCATTTTTAGTGATTGATAAGATGAAAGTACTGCCAGTCACAGGGACAGTGAATTCGGGAGAAGAACAAGTTTTGGCAAGAAGAGAAATGTGCTTAGGGTGCCAGACTGAGAACTATGACCCAGGAGGGAGGTCAAGACTAGAGACAGATGTCCAAGCAGCCATAGCTTACATGTTCTTTTACCTAAATCCAAACATGCTGGTTCCCATTCACTATCAGCACAGGCTGCAAACAATGGGTATTTGAAACTTCTGTCTTTCTGCTTCTCCTGCTAATTTCCCCTGCTGCCCAGTTTCTTCTGCCCTCTATCTCTAGAATGTCACAATAGGGGAACATAACTTGTCTCTTCATCTATTGCAAGCAATAATAATACATATAAGATCTGTCTTGAAGAATGACTGACTCTATATTTCCAAACACATGTCATGTGTGAGTAACAGATGATCCCAACAGATTATATTAATCAGTTTCCATTTTCTTGGACGTTACTTACTTACACAGATGGAAATTTTGGTATGTATGAGAAAAACCTAGAAAGGAAGATAAGGTGAGTGCTACAGAGTTATGGTGACCATATTTTTTGAAACAAAAATTTGACACTGGTTCTTATTGAAAAACTTGCTGAAATCTTTTCTGGTTCAATGAGGCAATTTAGGAGATACAACTGAAACAATGAAAATTGCATTTCCCAAGACACTTCAATTGTTCCCTGGGAACAATAGGACAAAATACTTATTGTGGGAAATACACAGAGCAGAATACCAATAACATGATACATGTTGTGGTTTTGTGATTTAAAGATTTTTCTTTTATTCTTTTCATATTCTTTAACTTTCAGTCTAGATTTAATAGTCTGGGCACTTGCTCCTTCTCTAGAGAACTCAAGGGACCACAAATATACTGAAGGTCAGTGTATGAAGACACTTCAGAAATAAACTGATCTTTTGTTTGTTTCTGAGATAGAGTCTCATATATCCCAGGCTGTCCACAAACTCAAAATATAGCTGATGGTGACCTTGAACTTCTGATTCAAGATTTCCTCTACCACCCAAGAGCTAGAATTACAGACAGACATGTACCACCATGCTTTGTATAGGTGGTTTTGGTGATAGAAACTACTCTGCCGACTGAGCAATAGCATCAGCCTAAAACCACTCTTGACATTTTTTGAGATAGGGTCTTACTATGTATCCCTGGTTGTCCTGAAACTCACTTCATAGACTAGCCTCAACTCACAGAAATCCACCTGTCTCCTGAATGCTGGGATCAAAGGTATACACTACCACATCTAGCCTCCAAACACTTTTTTTAACATACAAAGAAACTGAGATCCAAAACTATGAAATGGCTTGCCGAAGGTCAGAGCACAAGTCAAGGGCAGATCTAAGACTAGAATTTGGGTGCCTTATCGTGTCCTTATGAATATTCTTTTTCAAACACCAAGCTTCAATTTGGGGAGCAGCCTTCCTACTTCTTAATCTTTGCATTTTGTCCCTAACTTTTGCTTTGGAAATCCCTGGAGGAATGGGACCCACTATCAACAGGGCACAGCGCCAAAGTCAGAATATCCATCATCTCAAGTCCCCTTGATATGCAGTAGCCCTCAACACACATTCCTCAGCATCTTTCTCTTTTCTCATCTGGAACATCCACATCTCCATTACACCAAGTATCTTCCTGTCAATGTGTACATAAAGGGAAACGGGTAGAACATGGGCACCTGTTATTCCCAGATGATTAAAGGTAAGACTTTTGCATATGTGTGTGCTGGACCGTTAGCACTTTCCACACATTTCTGAACATCGTTATGAGAACCAAGCATCTTGCTCAGGAACAAAGTTTTACTGCTGAGAGAAAATACAGTGCCGATTGTATCTCATTTCTTGAGTTTCCTAAACTCTTCCCTATGGTGAAGCAGAAAAGTCATATTATACCTGCGTATGTTCCAAGAAGTGAATTGCTCAAACCCCACACAAGAGAGCTCTATCATAGGACTTAGTACAGTGTGTGGCAGAAGCCTTATCCCTGGTCTTTATTCCTTCTATATGGATGACATAAATGGAATCCCATCATGCACAACTTCTCTATTATGTGAAGCAAGCTTCTACAATGCCATTAACCATGTGAGATACTTTAAAAGACTCCTCTGAGCCTCTGAGCTCCTGGGTGTCTGGAAGAAGGGCCTGTAAATAAGCCTTGTCTTTTAGCCCCGAGGCCTACTATATGTTCCAACAACTGAACTGCAAAGACACAAATAAGGAACTCAACTGAAGTAGGAAGTGTAACAGGAAATTAGACTGGAGAGGGAGGTTGGCACCAAAATGTGGAGGACTTCACATGAAACCTGTGGAACACACTCTCTCTGACATAGGCTATGAATATGTATCTTTGTGTCCTTCACAGAACAGAACACTTTCCATAGCAGGGTAGTTCTCCACGGCAAGTGAAAACTTTGAAAGCTATCCCCTCCTTAGTTCAGTGCCTGTACAAGAAGTTCTGAGTCTTTTAAAAAATATTTGACAAACTCATAGTTCCCAGGCACTCACTTCAATGTGTCGCAAGCAATTTCATTGAAGCATTGCATATACCTTGGGCCTGGGACCAAGTGCAAGAAATTTCATCCCATCAGAAAAATCATTGAGGCAGCTTAAGGTAATGGAAACTGGTACTTTGGATTAAACCTGTCTCTTTCCATCTCTGTTTTTGGTGCCTAGATAATGGCTATGAAGGAAAAAAGCTAGAAAGTGTATAGCTTGCATACTTTGGAATTAGCTTGGGAAGAAAGACAAAATGGAGAGAATAAGGAGATAACTCTATTCTATAACTCAGTTCCAAACTATGATCTAAAGAATAGTAAAAATAAAGTCTTTAAACCAATGGTGCGACACAGGTCAGAGTGTTCCATCATCACTACCCAAGCTTAGAATACTCTTCGGACTGAAATCTGGGACAATTCCTTTCTCTACATTTTCTCTGTAGTGTATTGCCAAATCAGGATTTGTCAGACCTTAGCCATGATGTTGGAAATCAAATGCTAAAAACTAAAGAAAAATGAGTCCCAGGCATATAGTGTAAGTACCTATCCCAGTTTTAAATGCCTTGATGGTGGAAAGGGGGAAATAAGAATATCAAATACAGATGGCTTTACCATTTTCAAAGATCATTTGCTTCTAAGAAACATTTCCAATATTAAGGAAGAGTTAGATTAGACACCTTGGTATGTCACAACAAGATATCACAAATTGCGTGCTGTAAACAACACATTCATTATCTCACAGTTGTAGAGGCTGAAAACCCAAACTCTCTGTCAGGATTGGTTTCTGCTGAGGCTTCTTTTCCTGGCTTGGAGATAATCATCATCTTCTCACTGTGTCCTCAAATGGCCTTTCTTCTGTATTTGTGCAGAGAAAGAAGAAAGGGGGAGAAAAAGGGGGAGGTAGGGGCAAGGAGAGGAGAAGGGGAAGAGGGGGAGAGAGAGATCTGATGTCTCTTCTCTTCTTAAATTGATAGCAGTTCTACTAAATTAGGGTCACACTAATATAATCTCATTTAACCTTAATAACTTCCCTAAAACCCCTATTTCCAAATACAGTCACATCAGAACTAGGGCATCAAACTATGAATTTGGAGGAGAACACAATCCAATCTATAACAATACTGTAAAATGTATTTTTTTGTAGACAGTGTATCAGGTAATCCAGGTTGGCCTTGAAATCCTGACCCTCCATTCTAAACCTTCTGAGTACTTAGACTACAGGTGTGCACCTCCATGTCTAGCTTATTTGCTGAACTTTACTAAGAAGGACTGAAACTGAGAGGTTTTGTGATTTGCACATATCGGTAAGTAGCTGAGATCAAGACTAGAACTGTTAAGCCATGGCCCTGTAATTTTTCGGTTATACTATCTTGTCTTACTAAACGAATTAGGGCATACCCCTTCCGCTTTTGTTTTCTTTCTTATGAAGGTTATAGAGAATTGATATAGGTTCTTCTTCAGGGACTTTTGGTAAAATTCACTATGAATCCACCTTGATCTGATTCTTTCAAGATAATTCTTGAACTAAATATCTTAGTAGATACAGGCCTTTGCAAATAATCAATTCCCTTTGAGCTTTGGTAGACGGTCTTTTTAAATTAAACTTTTAGTTAGGCTAGATATTAAAGCGTTTTGTAGATTGTCTTTTGGGGAATGGTATATTTGTGGTTATGACATTTCCTTATTATCTACAAGATATAGCTTTGCCATCTCCTTACTTTCAGGTTACAGTCATTTATGACTTTTTCTTTCATATTTTTGCCTGAATTTTCTATTAGTATATATTAATTATACAAAGTAATATTCATTATTACATCTTTATATATAATATATATGAAGGGAAATATACTGTTGTTGAAATATTATATAAATGTCAACTAAATTTAGTTGATTGGTGGTCCTACTCAGTTTGACTACATTTTTGCTGATTTTCTGCCTACTGAATCTGTTAAGAATAGACTTCTTGTCTACAAGAGCTAGTTTCAGGACAGGCTTCAAAGCTACAGAGAAACCCTGTCTCAAAAAAAAAAAACAGATTTAAGAAAAATCTTGAAACACAATGGTAGAATTGTCTACTTTTGAGTCTTGTTTTTTATAAACCACAATTACAATCAATGATTTTTTTAAAGATTTACTTTTATTACTTTTAATTATATATTAAATTAATTTTTGTATTTGTGCAGCCGTGTGTACATGAAGGCAGGTGCCTGTGGAGTCTGGAGAGGATGAATATTTCTAGAGCTGACGTTACAAGCAGTTGTGAGCTGCCTGATGTGTGTGCTGGGAACTGAAATTGGGTCCTCTCCAAGAGCAGCATATGCAGTTAACCACTGAACATCTCTCCAGTCCCCAACTGACTTTTAATTGGGAGTACTTAATCCAATTGATGTTGAAATCACCACTGATGGAGTTGGATTAGTATCTACCACATTTCTTACTATTTCTCCATTCCGTTTGTTTCCTTGCTCTTGGTCTCACTTTTCTTCTACTCCATTTCTGCCTTTAGTTAAGCATAATAGATGATTCCATTTTGTTTAATTTTTTTAGTATGTAAGCTATTTTTTTCTGCTTTTCTTACTTCTGGAGATATAACCCAGGGTATTGCACTAGCTATATCCCAGCCTCACAATTAGTGTTTGCTGTTGACATTATAACATAAATTCCTAACTGGTCAAACTATTTTCAATGAACACTGTACCATGTCACAAGTACTACAAATATCTTAGAATAATATTCCCAAATTATTCTTTTCATTTTTATAATACTGCTGTCATTCATTTCGCCTGTCTAATACAGTGTTGCTGTTCATCTATTAGAAAAAATGAGAATAGCAATGAAAAAATTCTTTTGGTTTTTAGTGTATGAGAGAATAAGAAATATATATATCAAAACTGCCTACACTTCACATAAACATGTACCTAATGGTAGAAGCCAGTTAAAGCATTCACACGAATTGATTACTGTGGCTTTGTTTTAAGTCCAAATAATTAGCTCTACCCATGTATACATTTCAAGACTCCATTCAATTTTTTGTGTTACCTATAGAATTTGACACATAGTAGGTATTCCACACATGGGAAATTTCTCTAAAAGGATTTTCATAATGAGTGGGGTAAATGTTATTATTCCTATGATCTATTCCATGTGTTTGGAAAGAGCAACATGCTTTGGAATGACCAAGAAAGGCTTCATGATGGGATCTGAAACTGAATATTACCCTGAAGAATGGATAGGATTTGTATTTAATCAGAGGAAAATTAAATGGCATTCCAAGTTTTGGGCACAGCACAAACAAAACTGCAGAAACAGAATAAGAAAACACTCTTTCTACTGTTAAAAACAGCTATCCTGGGACATCTTTGTGACTTGAGATCTTAGAAGACATTGACAAAAACTATAGAACTGATTAAATATGGTTATAGAGGGAGTACACTCAGCTTTGAAGATACTAACTAAATAACAATGACTAAACCAAAAAACCTTTAATAGTTAAGCTGTACTTTAATAGTACACAATAGCTAAGCAGTACTTTAATAGTACACAATGGTTAAGCTGTACTTTAATAGTACACAATAGTTAAGCAGTACTTTAATAGTACACAGTAGTTAAGCAGTACTTTAATAGTACACAGTAGTTAAGCAGTACTTTAATAGTACACAGTAGTTAAGCAGTACTTTAATAGTACACAATAGCTAAGCAGTACTTTAATAATACACAATAGTTAAGCAGTGTTCTCTGCTAGTGCTCAGTACTAGGTCTTAATTTTAAATTTAGGATAATACTTGGAGCATTATATGTACTATGAAATTCAAAATATTCGTTACTAGGTCTATAGCACATTAACTATGGAAATTAAACATAGAAAGATCTTGGTTGTTCTTTATTAAGAGGAGAACATAGACTTTAGAGAAATATCGACAGTGCATATTCTGCCTACTTGCTTTATCTTTTTTAATCCAAGTAAGTACAAACACAAGAAGCATTCAATAAACCTTCTCTTCAAGTATAAAAAAATAATTTCAAAAAAGATTTCTTATAATATTTTGAGTCTTTCTATGAGCCCAGTTAAAGGCATATGTGTGAAGGAATTGGCTAACTGAAGTCCTAAGAGAGAAACCAGCTTCCATCCAGTGAAGTGTAGATCCTGGACACAAATTCATCTCTATCTAACTTTAAAAGACCACATTATTTAAGCAACGCCATATTTTCTCTTTCTAAAAAAAATTTTATTTATGTGCACTGGTGTTTTGCCTCTACGTATATATCTGTATGAGGATCTTGGGTACCTGGGAACTGGAATTACAGACAGTTGTAAGCTGCCATGTGGATGCTGGGAATTGAACCCAGGTCTTGTGGAAGAACAGCTAGTACTCTTAACTACTGAGCCATCTCTCCAGCTCCAACACCATACTTTCTCAAAAAAAGTTTAAAAATGGAATGACTTTTAATTGTGTCCCTGGAACTAGATCACTATCAGGAAAGGATATTACAGTTGTAATTCAAACATGGGGTTAAGAAGGTAGATAAACTCGATACTCAACTTCAGAGTCTCATGATCTAATCTAAATGTCTTAAGAACATGCTTTACTGTTGTGTAGAATAGATATGCAAACAGGCATACACTTATATACACACTAAACAACTGGATTTTTGCTTTCCAGAAAAATTCCCCACCATGTATCCTTCCTTTGAAATTTCGCTTCAGCTTCTCAAAGTTCTGGAATTTTCTGGGCCAAAATGTTCTCACTTACAGGCTTCCTATTTTGAAAAAAGGTACTACTACCTATACCCAGGAATGCTAATCCTACAGAATTCTCTAGACAACATTCAAGTTGTCATGGATTCTCCACTGTAAAATGGCTGTCTGCTGAGTACTCTCGAATATATGGAATGGTGATGTATATCACTATAGGAAATTTGAAACACCACGAAGAAAAGTGGGCCATGTACTTGCAAATCAGATAAAAAAAAATGTCAAGGATTTCTCTGAGGTGCAAAATCGCTCGAATCTTACAATGTTGTTTTTGTTTAATATTCTTAGTAGTTTCCATTGGGTACTTTTAAAAAATATTGACTATTTACAACAGGGCAAATAGCATGCTGTGGTTGTAAAAGTACCTTTGGTACAACCTCTAAGATTCTCCTCTCATGCCAGCTTCAGCACATGCTGCCATTTCAGAGCTACAGGGATCAAATAAAGGGCAATGAAATGGACCTTCTGCTTTAGATAGCTGGGCAGAGATGAAGACAGCTTGAATCGGGCCTGAACTGCTGTCAAAACCAACATCTTGCTTCATCTCCCTTCCCTCCCACCTTCTGAGTTTAGAATCAGTCACCTGGAACTAGAATGATTATCAGAATCAAATTTTTACTCAGACAACAAGATAGAATTTAGGAATAGTTTCTAAAACGGCAACGAGATTTTGTTATTTGCTTAGCATAATCTAAGTCCAACATTCATGTTAGACTTCTTCAGAATTCTGTATTGGTTTCACTTCCTTTACTTATTAAGCCACAGAAACATTTTCTTTCTTTCTTCATCCCTTTCCCTATCAACCTCCATTTATCTCTCTCCCCTCCTTCTCAGATAGACCTACTAAGCTCCATTTGGTAATTAATTATGCATGAGAGGTGGGAACTACTTCTCCCCTAACAGACCATACATCAGTTTAGAAATTACAACTTGATAACTTGAGATTCCCCAGATACCAAAGGGCTATAAATAATTCTTTCAATTAAAAATACTCGTTCTCCATATATGTTCACTCCCTGTATTTTAACTGTCTTTATCCTCTTGCATGAAATCTTGGGATATGATGCAGCCTTTGCATCTAGAAGTCTGAAAAACTACTTAG